GAGCTCAACGTCCTCGGCTATCAGGGAAAAGCAAATCAAAATGATGTGACACCTCTTCACACCCACTGAGATGATTGTGATAAAAAAGGGCAGAAAGGAACAGGTGCTGGAAAGGACGTAGAAAAATCCTACCTGTGGGATTTTTAAATGGTGTAGTCCATTTGGAAAGTAGTCTAGCACTTCCTCAATGGTTAAACACAGTCTCCTATGACCCAGCAATTGTAGCCCTAGGTGTATGCCCAAGAGAAACAACAACATGTCACACAAAGTCGTAAATACAGACATTCATAGCACCGTTGTTTGTAATAGCCCCAAGCGAGAATTCAACTTACAGATCTCCTAATTCCTATTTTTGCCCCCAATTAAAAAACATCTTTTCAATTTTACTTAGATGTACAAATTAGCTAAAAACAAACAAACAAATAAAAAAAACAGAAAGAGACAAAGAGAAGAAACTAGATTCATTGAAACCTGATGGCCTCTCTGCTTCCCGTCCCTATTGGAAGACAGTTCAAGCATCTATGCTTTAGCTCCTCAGATGGCAGAGTAAGTAACAGCAGGCATTCCCCACAGACAGCAGGAGGCTGGTGTGTTTTGTATGTGTTATGTGGCATTTGTGAGGGTTATAGGGATGTCCTGGGGAAAACACAGCTGTCTGATGCCCCATAATGTAGCCTCTATAAATTAGTTTCAAGTTGAATACTCTTCCTGTGCAATGGGAAATGGAGGGCTGTTTTTCCTATCAACTTCAAGAGGTTCCTCACATTTTGTAAAAAGGTGGCAACTGTGTTGCAAAATGATCTGGATGCTACATAGACAAATTAAGCCCAGAACCAACCACACACCATGATTCAGAGAAATTTGAGGCACCAGAGTAAGTTTCCTCTGGAGTCCCACTCTTACCTTGCTAAGTCAATGAAAGTTCTAATCAGTCAATGAGATTTGCAATCCACAGCTGTATTCTGCCCTAAAAAATATTCCAAAGTAGGGCCTGTCTTGGTTGCTGATAAGCTGAAATATAAGTCAGAGAAGGCAAAAACGTGGCATGTGTTTCCTGCCTCTTTCACTTGCCTGAATGTAGCTTATTGCTTGTCCTACACTCCCATGAAATCTGGATAAGGCCCTCTCAGCCCTCTAAGCATTACTAACCTGTCAATGAACTCTATTTGCCCTTTATAGACACAGGTTATTCCAAGTTGAAGTGTGCATGTGCCCACAGTACATTTTTGACTCAAATACTTAAGAAAAACCTTCAAAGTATATTTGTATGTATATAAGGTTTATCTTTTTGAAAATAGGAATTGTAAGTGGAAACAGCCTAATAGTGACTCAGTATAAGGAAGTATTCTTCATCTAATTTGCTTTAGTTTCTGAAATAATTACCATTGACTCTTTGGCCTATACAAATATAAATACCCAAGCAAAGCCTTTTAGCAGTAGGCACCATTTCCTGGAAATAATTTAGCATGTGCTATTATCATCTTAATTAATGGTATAATTTACATATGTAACCTGTTTAGTGCTCCACTAACACCTGTGCATAACATACTATTCAGATCTACAGATTACCGTTGAGGAATCTGAGATGCAGAGATATTAAGTAACCATAATATTGAGGCTGTAAAAAATTTCATCTTTGTTAAAATTTGTCCCTAGTGGTTCTCTCCTGCATGTCCCTATACAAGTCTCCATGTTGTAAGTTTGGTATAAGTTAAGAAGCTAATGTTAAATAAATGCTCCTCACCAGATTCCTTCTTTTGAACCGATGGACAAAAGTTCTTTTCCAAAAACAAAAGCTGAAAACAAAACCTGATAGTTCCTTTGTCTCAACTCATTTTGCTAAGAATCCTTTGAAATTGACAACTCTGGTTTCTGTGTCTCAAATACATTTTAGAGCAACTCATAATTTAGAGCAATTATGCAAGTCCTGGAATTACAATGCTGGCTGTGTGTTATGGCTATAAATCTTCAAATTATACAAGCTTTGTCAGTTGCTAGGGATGTAGATAGAAAATAAATAATACTAATAAACATGGGTTATTTGAAACCATAGCATATTCCTTCTCTGGGGTGGCATGTGTGGCTCATGGAGTAGGGCACCAGACCCATACACCAGAGGTGGCGGGTTCAAACCTAGCACCGGCTGAAGAAACTCCAAAAAAAAAATTTCCTTCTCCGAATTGATGATTTGTGTATATCCAAAAGTGGAGTCTAATAAATAAATATAGTTATGAAAATTGCTGACATTGAAACATGTACCTCTTTTTATCATAGCAAATTAGAATAATTTAGCAAAATGGAACTGTCAATTTCTTTTAACAAGTAAAATCTAACTATACTTAGTTGACTACTTCCTCCACACATTCTCAATGATAGTATTGAACAGTATCTGATGGTAGATGGAAAGTAATTAGAATTGTGTTCCTGAACTTTGTTTAATCACAAGGAAGTGAAGAGGCTTGCACAGTTATTCCAGGTTTTCAATGATGACTTGCCTTTGTGTTTCTCCAAGAAACAAAACAACATACTCCACATTATTTTGTGTGTAATGCTCTTACTACTAACAGTTCTTAAATATCAGTGCCCATCAATACCCACTTAATGTTATATTATTAGATTTTTCTATGTCCTTGGCCTGTTATCAGTAATAAAACTGTGAGAAATTCCCATCTGGTATTTCTGGTGCCTTTGGGCATACTAAACAATAGATTTGAAGAAGCTCACAAGTGTTCCCTGATTACGTGACAGGATTAACTAACTAACTAAAAGACAACGGTGGTATAAGCTTTTCATCTTAAAGCAGGCCCTTGTTCTCCCAGGGAAATATTTTTAAAACCCACAATGACCCATGATAACCAAGAGTTTAATTGTTGTTGTTGGAGGGGTGATTTGTTTATAACATTACTGAGATATAATTGACACGTGTAAATCGCACTTATTTACAATGTGTACAGCTCTGACGCTATCCTCACAACCAAGATAATGAACATGTCCATCATAGATGATAGTTTTAGAATATATCAATAATGTAAAAATTTGGTGGCTTTCAGATCCCTGCAGGCCATTGGGCATTAGGAAACCATATTTTTTTATTTTTTGAGACAGAGTCTTACTCAGACACCCAGGCTAGAATGCCTTGGCGTCATAGTTCACAGCAACCTGAAAAGCCTAGACTCAAGCAACTCTCTTGCCTGAGCCTCCAGAGTAGCAGAGACCACAGGTATGCACCACCATGCCCTCTAGTTTTCTATATTTTAATTTAATTTAATTTTTTTTGAGACAGTCTCACAATGTCACCCTGGGTAGTACCGTGGCATCACAGCTCACAGCAACCTCAAACTCTTGGGCTTAAGCAATTCTCTTGCCTCAGCCTCCCGAGTAGCTGGGACTATGGGTGCTGGCCACAACACCTGGCTATTTTTTGGTTGTAGTTGTCATTGTCGTTTTAGCAGACCCAGGCGGATTCGAACCCGCCAGCCTTGGTGTATGTGTCCGGCGCTCTACTCACAACTCCTGCGCTCAAGCAATTCATTCGCCTCAGCCTTCCAAAAGGCTAGGATTACAGGTGTGAGCCACTGTGCCCGGCCAGGAAACCATATTTATTGTTTATGTAGCAAACGCATTTTCTATAATTTATTGTACTAGCAGAAGAAAAGATTGGGCATAATCTGGGGTTTAACATTTTTGAGAGGCACCTGAATGGTGCTGAAGTTGGCCTGTGAATACACAGACGGGCAGGTTATGAAATCCTCAATATGCACGCGGTGGCTTAGAGCCCCACAGAGCCCCGAGTGTGCTGTGCCACCCACACTCCTTTTCTAGAGAAGCGAAAGCAGATATGCCTGTTCCTCCGCCCTGCATGTTGTACTGAATCTTTGTTTTTCAAAGCACATCATTTTATAAGCAATTTAGACCAGTAAAGCGCAAAGCTTCTTTGAAAAGATGGGTCTACATATGAGAGTAACACATAAGGCAAGTCACCTCCCTCCTGTGAGTTTTGGTTTATTTGTTAACTATCTTCCATCTTATCAGAGGAAGTGTGAAGAAAAAAAAGCAGCTTCCAGAAATGTCCAGCTTCTCAAATAGACTCCCCGCAGACAGCCCAAGACTTCCACGGCGTTGGCTCAGGGTTCTAGGGAGACGTAGCTGCAGTCCGCCTGCCTGTTGATACCCTATTTGCCCTCAGGGCTGGTCCGGATGCGTCTGCCAGGCTTTTCCTGGAGGCCCTGCTGTAGCCCACTGTTTACAGCCCCGTTTACGGACAGCGGTTTACGGACGCAGGATTTAACCTCGGGGTTGCAGGTTCCAGCGATTCCCTCAGCCGCCCACACCCCATCTCCAACTCGTCCGCGCTCAAAGCTACGTCCCCTCCCAGCAGATGCTGGTCACTCTCACTACTGTGGCCCTGGGGACTCCAGCTTTCCTCTTTGCCTTGGAACCCAGGACTTAACTTCTGGAGCCGGGAAGGGTCCTGCCCACTCAGCGAGGCTGCAGCCGGGGGCTGTTTCTACCTGCTGATCCTCCCTTTCTATTTCTCCCCAAACGAGGGGAAAATTCAAGTGGGTTTGGCACATCCCCCTATCCCGGCCTGCCATTCGCAGGTCGGGCGGGGGCTGACGTGCGCGAGGAGGACCGGACGGAGCAGGCCATTTCCACCTGCGTGACAGCAGGCTGGGAGCAGCGGCGCGGCGGCGGCGGCGCCCGGAGAGGGAGGGG